GTTGGTTTCTCATGTCTTACGCTTGAAGAAAGGCGGGTTCTCAAGAATTAACAATGCTGAAGTTCATCTTGTCCACATTCTCTTAAACAAGATTCAGATCAATTGGGCAAATATTTTGTTTACCGAATGTTTGCCATCAAATAATGGAACAAAGGCACCTTGTTTTGTTACGTATCCATGATTGCTAAAATCCTCAACTATTTTAAAATAGGAGTGTTAAATCTTCGGTTTAAATATCTTAGTATAATTGAAGAGTTCTCCCAACATACTTTAACTAATATGTGTTACTTTTGGGATGAGAATCGTAAGGTGTATTACTTCTGAAGGGGCAGGCATGGGAAGAAAATATACAACTTTGATGACCTCCCTGAGTTTGCTGATACAACTACCGAGACACATGTGATTGGTGATCAACCAATACAAGATGTTGATCACGAGGATGGTCAAATGGGTGATGAATATGGAGATCAATCCTCCATTCTAACTATGCTTCAAAATATGCAGATTAAGCAAGATGAGTGCTATAAGGAGGAGTGTCAGAGGCGAGAATTTTTTCAAGCAACTCAAGTGGAACAACTCTGTCTTATATAAGAGCATATGAGATATCAAGATACCAACTTTGACGCCTTTGCCTCATTTGTGGCTGAAAGGCTGGTCTCTATGCCGAGTTAAATAGATGCTAATCATGCCACCATAATTGCAAGAGTTAATCACATGATTGCAAATGAGAATCACCAGCACTATGCTCTATTCAACCAAGAGATGTGCACCTTCTTGGATAATGAGTTTGGAAATGACGGACAAGGCTAACATTGTGGTGTGAGGCTAATGCTTAAAGGTCGTGGAGAATGATAAAGCTTTGAGTCCTAACGTCATTTCTATTAAGAATAGCGTGGAAGTTTTCTATCATGCATTTCATAGTTTAAGTCATCATACATTTCATGCTTTTTGTTTGTTTTTTCTTCTGGTTTATGTATTGGCAATATTACTACTAAGTTTAATAAGAGATAAAGAGTTTTACTTTGTGCATTCTCTTGGTTGACTATTATGAAATTTTGTTCTACTGCTTCATTTATTTTGTGGTGTTATTTCCATTATGTATTTTTATGTATATTGCGTATATGTGAGTGCACACTCTTATCTTTGCAAATTTCCTCTGTACAGTATAATGTATATGTGAACCGTGTATCTATGTGATACTGCTAATGACTCACATTGTCTCTTTTTGATGTTGTCAAAGGGAGAGAAGAATTTGCAGCTGTGAAGTTATGGTGCACATATTCAGGGGAAACTTTCATGGACAAGAAACATATCGTCTTAAGTTTTGCCATCATAAAAAATGGGGAGTATGCGTGTGCAAATTTCCATTAGATGTATTTTGTATGATGTCAAAACTAGGATACTTTAGCGTTTATGTACATTGGATGGTATCATCTAAGTCTAGTTGTGCATTTTAGCATTAGGAAGCACGCCAACTTGTTTGAAATGGTTTAAAAAAGATTCAAGCATCAAGAAATGGTTTTATGCATAAAAAACAAAGTATCGTATGTGAGAAATAGCCTATAGGTAGACAAATACGACTATAGGTCGATACATTGAATAAAATTTCTTCTATAGGTCGACACATTCATCATTTTGGTCGACACATATGCTACAATATTAAAGTCTGTAGGCTCTGTCCATGTGCCGCCCCTATAGGTCGACACATGACTTTGATAGGTCAACTCATGACTTGTATAGGTCGACCTATAGACCAACAATATTTATTTTTTGCATTATTTTTTATTCCTTTTGCTTGATATTTGCATACATATAAATATTTGATACGTGCATCTTTTCTAGTAAGGTTCTAGAGTAAACCTACACGAAATCGGGATTTCAAAGCATTCTTATCATCTTCAACCTCTCTTTTATGCATACACACAATCAAACTACACATAATCATTTTTTGATTAGGTTCCATCTAGGTTAGGGTTGATAACGACCAATTTAAGTTGTTTGTACGGTAAATTGGGTTGACTTCTTTGAGGGTTTTAAATAAGAAAAACGAGTTAGGGTTTTCCTTCAAGATCGTTAAGAATTTGAAGGCTTTGGAAAATATTATGCAATTCAGATTCGATTGAGTGAAAACTCTAGGACAAGAGGTGTCTTGCAAGGGAATAACGTGAGACGGTGGATCGTCTTGGTAAATCTTGGGTTTCAACAATTGTGTGCTTGAAATTAATTCAACCAAGTGAAAGACTTGGGACAAGGGGTTCCTTGCAAGGAAGTAGCGTTAACAAGTGAATTAAAGCGGCATTGTTGGTTACTTGATCAATGTTTAATCAAGGGTTTTAGAGGTGCTATAATCAACATCAAACTTAGGGGTTGTAGGGTTGGATTGCTACATCTCTTGTATACATATTTTTGCAAAGTAAGGTTAATTGCAATCATCTTAATTCGAATTGAAATTGAGGGAAGACGTACCCATAGCGAGGTTGATTGGGGAACTGCCTAAATAAATCCTTGTGTGCTTTCTCTCTCTCTCTCTCTCTCTCTCTCTCTCTCTCTCTCTCTCTCTCAATCTCTTTTAATTTGTGTTTGCAAATTATTGCATTCATTGTTCATTCAGTCATTTTGTTTGAGAATTATTTTTAATCACATCTTGAAATAGGTGTTGTTGGGTTAACCGCAATTCGTTTGATTGTGATTGGATTTTAAGATCAACAAAACCGAAAATATTTCCAAACGATATCGATTATACACAGGGTGTTTGATAAATTGCCTTATTGTGTGTTTTGATAATTGGGAATAAGCTTTATGTATAACTTTGCATTCAATTGGTTTAGATTAATAGTTATTGAACAATTTGTGTTCATTATCATATGTTAGTGTACCTTTACGCATATCTGAGCTTTTTGATAGAGGTTCAGTTAGACAAATCGATTCGGATTGTTTCCACTTTTCCATAAAAGTTTTCAAATCAGTTTTTGCTAAAAGTTTTTAACTTGTGATCTATTAATCCCCCTTTAGATCGAAGCATATTGTCTAACATTTTCTGACAAATAAAACACTTTAACCTTGATTTTCAAACCTATTTGATTTGGACATCCCTATACGCCAACTTTCACCTTTAAAAATCATTTGGATCTCACAGTCGTCTAGACTTCATCCAAAATACCTTCCATACCATAAAGAAGGGCATCCTTAAAAGCCCTTAAATGATATGGTAAGGTAACAAAAATCTGAAAAAATATTCATTGTCTTCCATCTTGATGTGACTAGGTTTCTAACAAATAAAACATTTAAACCTTGACTTGTCAAACCTCTTTGATTTATGCACCCCTATACTGATCTTGTGAAATTATGTCAACTACTATACTATGAATTTGTTCTATACCATTCGGAATGAGTAAGTTTGTTGTGTTAAATACAACCTGCGAGCCAAAGACTTGGTCATATATAATGGTTCAATTTTTTCCCACATTGAAGCTGCAATCTTTTTTCTGGTGACTTTCATTAGAACTTTATCCTCGATGCACAAAATAATGACACTTCTATCCTTATGCACCATCTTAGTTTTCTGCCAGTGTTAGGCGTGCATGCATCAATGATCTACTCTTCAATGCTTAAATACACTTCTTTTAAGTTAAAATTACTTGCATTTCACTTTCTATAATCCAAAATTGTTGTCTTCGTAAAATTTCTCAATCTTCCATTTAGAGTCCATGGTGCTCACTTAGAAATAAAATCCCTTTGGCCCATGGTGGATGACACTTGTTGTGAAATTGAAAGGTCCAATCATACAAAGAAGTTTAATGCGTAAGAATAAAGAATAATGACAACCAAAATATATGACCTTAAACAAAAATTAACTTTATATGCAATAAAACAATAATCTAATTTGACAGAAGAAGATAAAAGATAGGAAACATGATAACTTGTTTACCTAGTTCGATGAAACGATCTACTCCATATGATATAATATTTCTCTGATTCATTGTACTTACAAAAGTTATTACAAAAGATTACAAATGAGTTATAATAAAATAGTCACCTAAGTTCCCAAGATCAAACCTTATTTTCTACCTAAGTGTTTTCCAATTTTCAAGCTCTCTTTCTATATATGAACTACACAAGCCTAAGATGTTTAGAAATATTTCACAATCCCCCTTAGATGTCACCAACGACTTCCCAAATTCCAAGAACACACTCTTAAAATTTTACCATTGTCACTCTAAGATTACCACTAAGATTTCTAAACCCTTATCTATGTCTTTAGCTTTAAAGTTTGGAAGCTGTGAAGAAAAAAATGATAGAAACACATATTTATAAGTGTTGAAATCCAAAATATCTACAACAAGCCAAAATCATAACCCATTAACAAATGGATCTACAGACCAAAACAATGAAACCCAATATATGCAAACCGAAAAAACGAGACTCGAGCTCCAACTAACCAAACCGTGCATCAAACCCAGACCCACTTTCACGCCTCCACTACCAGCTCTGCCTCTAGGTTGATTTCAAATTTTTGCGATCTCAAAACATGTTTACTCTCTCTTCACCACTTAAAATTGTAAGACACACTTTAACAACTTTTATGAAGAAATTAAATTTAACAAAGAACTTTCTTATCTCTTTGTCTTCATTTGCAGGATCAATGAGTATTCATTTGAAACCTTAATTTGAAAGTATCTTATATTTTGTTTATAAGAATTATTTTTGAGGAGCTACTCCTATTTTCTAAATTTTTGAAAAAGCTATTTAAATCAAACTATGAAAAAAAAATCATTTAAATCTCAATTCATGCCTCAAATCTCAAAACATATTCTAATTATAAAAACTTTATGCAATAAAAAAAAACTGAAAGAGAGAGGGAATTTCATGGTCCCCAGCAAATCCTTCACTCGTTCTCTCTCGCCCCTCAATTCCGCTCCTCCGCCGTCGTTTTACCGTGACCCACCGGCGACTATAATTTCAAATAAAAAAGTATCTTCGTTTGTAGAAATTCAATTTCTATGCATTCTTATATCCACCAACATTGTTCTTCTCCTCGATCAGCTGCAAGCATAGCAACTCTTCTCAAAGCTTGCAAGAGAATCCAACATCTTCAGCAAGTTCATGCTTCCATCGTTCAAAGAGGCCTTGAACAAGACCAGTTCCTCATTTCGCATTTCATTTCACTTGCCAATACTCTTTCCACTTCCACTCTCTCATATTCATCGTCCGTCTTTGATCGTGTTATCAATCCCTCTACCTTCCTCTGGAACACTCTCATCATAACGCATTGTCAGAGAAGCTTGTTTTCTAATACCCTTTTCGATTTTATTCGTATGAAAGCGGAAGGGGCTTTACCCGATAGGTACACTTACCCTTCTGTGATTAAAGCTTGTTCCGGTACTTGTAAGGTTTTGGTAGGAAAATCGGTTCATGGGTCGGTGTTGAGGTGTGGGTTGGACGAGGATGTGTTTGTGGGCACCAGTTTGATTGATATGTATGGGAAATGTGGGGAGGTTGGTGATGCTCGTAAGGTGTTTGATCGATTGTCTGAGAGAAATGTGGTTTCTTGGACTGCTTTGGTTGTTGGGTATGTCACTGTTGGGGATGTGGTTGAGGCGAAGAGGATGTTTGATGAAATGCCGCTGAGGAATGTGGCTTCATGGAATGCTATGATTCAGGGTTTTGTTAAGGTTGGAGATTTAAGTAGTGCTAGGGGTGTATTTGATTCTATGACTAAGAAGAATGTAGTTTCTTTCACGACTATGATTGATGGATATGCTAAGGCTGGTGATATGGCAGCGTCGAGGTTCTTGTTTGACCAGGCTGCAGAAAAGGATATTGTTGCCTGGTCTGCTTTAATATCGGGTTATGTACAGAATGGTCAGCCTAATCAGGCGCTGACGGTGTTTCTTGAGATGGAATCAATGAATGTGAAACCTGACGAGTTCATTTTGGTTGCCTTGATGTCGGCTGTGTCTCAGTTGGGTCATTTAGATTTGGCTCAATGGGTTGATTCTTATGTTGGCAACAACTCTATTGATCTTCAGCAAGACCATGTGATTGCAGCACTTGTGGATATGAATGCAAAGTGTGGAAACATGGAGAGGGCGTTGAAGTTATTTCGAGAAATGCCTAAGAGAGATTTAGTCTCGTATTGTTCGATGATTCAGGGGTTTTCAATTCACGGGCATGGGGAAGATGCCGTGAATCTATTTAATAGGATGCTGATGGAAGGGATAATTCCAGATGAGGCGGCCTTCACAATTGTCCTGACAGCTTGTAGTCATTCTGGGCTTGTTGACGAGGGTTGGAACTACTTCAACTCCATGGAGGAAAATTATGGCATTAGTCCTACACCTGATCATTTTGCATGTATGGTTGATCTTCTAAGCCGGTCTGGGCATTTAAGGGATGCTTATGAACTTATAAAATCCATGCACGTGGAGCCGAATGCTGGTGCCTGGAGTGCACTTTTTGGAGCATGTAAACTACAGGGCGATTCAGAGTTAGGAGAGACTGTTGCGAATCGTCTTTTTGAACTTGAGCCTCAAAATGCTGCTAACTATGTGCTGTTGTCCAACATCTATGCATCAGCAGATCGATGGAAAGATGTTTCCCTTGTGAGAAGTAAGATGAAGGAAAGAGGAGTGCGGAAGATACCTGGTTGCAGTAAACTTTAGTCCAATGCTGAGTTATTCTGGTTCCATGTATTGAAGTTCTGAATGTACAGAACCTGGAAAGCGGTATGAGGAGTGCGGAAGATACCTGGTTGTAGTAAACTTTAGTCCAATGCTGAGTTATTCTGGTTCCATCTATGAAGTTCTGAATGTACAGAACCTGGAAAGCGGTATGAACTCTTTTTCAGTTGATTTTGAATCTTAGAAGTTAATCCATGGTTGTTAAATTGCAAACGAGTTGATGGTATATAGTTTATTCCCTTTTTTCACTAACTGTCACATTATAATTTTCACACGGCATGAACATGAGAGGATCCATTCTCATTGAAGTCAATTTATTCTTATGCTACTTTGGATTGAGGTCTTCATTACATTTGTGTTGTTTTTGTGTTGAACCTATCTTGCTTTCATGAGAAGCCCCGTCATGTATGACACTATTTGTTCACAACTCAGTTGTTTAAATTTTTTTCAGTATTTTTTAAACAATAGGTATTATGTGCTTTTTGCAATTTACAAAGAAAACGCTCTCTGGGTGCCGAACTGCCATGGATTTGTATGCACAGTCCATTGTTGATACCCTTGCCACTTATTATATTTTCAATACATCTACTGGAAGTTCAATGATGTTGGTGACAGATTAATACAATTTCTTCATGATTGTGATTAGAAGATTTACTGAAACAGATTGTAACATGCTAATGTGTTCTATGTTTATATCCAAATTTCCAAATTGTATATAAAAGTTAATTTACACTTTTTTGCTACTTTAAATGGAGGGTTTGATTTATTTATTGCTTTTATAACATTGCTGCATAATGCCCTCATTACTGCATATCAAATGTTTACTTTTTTTTTTTTTTTGTGATTATAAAAAAATACAACAACAATAACCAAACTTTATCCCACAAAGTAAGTAATTATAAAATATAATATTTTAAAAAGTAAAGTTCAAAATAAGTAGCTCAAGATCAGTTTGTTACATGTAGCTCTTGCATATCTTAAGCACTCCATACCTCAAACATGGAGTTGCTCACTGGTTCCAGTGTCTTGGCTGATTCTCTTTATGTTTTTGTGTTTCCTTTTAAGGTTTTCTTCCACCTCAGGTGTGGTCTTTTAATTGTTGCTCCTATTGCTTTGAGAGTCACTACTATTGCTACAGTTTGTTATGAAGATTCACTTGTGGCTTATTAAGACAGTGAAGCAAATGGCTAGGTAGGGTGGAAGCGATCCTCGACAATCAAATCACAACTTCCTTGCTTCTTAGACTACTGGTACCAATCCTTGCACACAAACAGAATCGTGTGTGATGAATCCCAGTCTATTACCACGATAGTTATTGCAAATTTTGGACTAAGAGGTACCCTTCACAACCTCAACTTCTCATAATTTTCCTATCTTCTCATTTGGATATAAGTAAAAGCTTTTTTTTGTGGAAATATTCCCCACCAATTCTAGTAGCTTTTCCAAAATTTCTTAATTGAAGTGGGGTGACAATTTTATTTAAGTTGGTTTCTTTGATAAAAGATCTCAATTCCCAACAGCATTGGAGTTGTTTAATTACTTCAATAAAGTGATGTCTATCAAGCAACTGGTTGTTATAATCTCCCTTGCTCTGGCTTTATTCAAATTAACTATGATATAGGTGTGGGAGCAAGCATCTTCCCATTTTCTAACTATGCTTCCTCCCAACTGGTTATGAGCATCCTTTTTTTAATTTGTCTATTTCTATAGGATATTATGAAAAGAAAATCTGCCCCGTATTTATTATTGGTTCTGTAAATACACCATTTAATTGTAATATTTTAATATTGATTTTATTATTCCCCGTGTTTTTATTTTTGCTTTTTTGTTTATTTTTCTTTTCCAGATGATAATCATTGAATCTCTTCATGTTTGCATCTTTTGATGGCTCTTTTATTTGTCTATGTCTGGTGCCGAATTAGTATTCTCCCCCTTCTAGTGTCATGCACTCAACTTCAAAAGAGGATGCTCCGAAACTTATGGATGAAACTGCCGAAGCTAAAGCTTATCAAGATGTGAGTTTGAGTTCACTCTTATCTTTAATTTTGCTTTATCAATCTCCTTCTACTGCCTTTTTCTTCTCTGTTTTATAACGGAATGAATTGCATGAGAAAAGAAATCCAAGAAAAGTCTAAAAAAAGAGAGTAAATGGTTTAACCTATGCGGGCAGGAAAATAAGAACTTTCATATTCACTTTTAAGAAGGCTATAGTGCTACATAATTTACTTACATCTTTCCATTCAATGAAACAAAATCGAATTGTTGTCCCATGATTATTTGTGCCTGTAAAGCCAACAACAGAAGCAGGCCTATAGGATTCTGAATTTTCATAATCTGCACTGCCAGAGGCTTCACCCGTAAGAGGAGGGTAAATTAGTGTTATCGTGTCCATTCCATTCTAGAAATGTCTCAGATTGAATGGAACTTAATCATTTGTTTCATGCTGCTACATCTTCATTTCAATGTGAAATGCTTAAATCGAAATGTCATCTAGTATATTTTACTTCAAAGCCAATTTGACAAAGTAATCCAAACAAGTTCCACATCCACTTGATGTTCTACGCCTCTCCATTCATTGTTACTTCAAAGCCAATTTGACAAAGTAATCCAAACAAGTTCCACATCCACTTGATGTTCTACGCCTCTCCATTCATTGTTACGCTATACCACTATCCTCAATGCCACAAAGAAGTCATGACTCAAATGATCAAGGAGATCATGGCTGAGTACTTAGTCCTTTTTCCTTGTTTGCAAAAAAGGATAGATCTTGATGATTTTCTGTTGATACCCGAGTCCTTAATGCTATCATCATGGTCGATGAAGATGAACTTCCTAGCTCCACATTCTTCTCCAAACCCGCCTTCTTTCGGGATACCACCAAGTTCTCCTTGCTAGTTCCCTCTTAGGACAAATTAAGTCTATTTCTATAATGGCATATAATAATGCAAATTATAAATCAATGGTTCGTCACTTTCTACTCCTTACTTTTCTGGTGTTGCAAAAGCTCAAATAGGGATTTCTCCTCAAAAGTTCTTAACACTTGCATTGTTATAGTGATATTTAAATTTTTATTTAATATTTGTTTAAATATGATTCAGTCCCAATTATACGTGGGACAAAAGAAAGAAAGTAATATGAGGAAACTAACAAGAAAAAAAAAAGTGAAAAAATAGAAAGACGTGATAAATTAGCAAGAGAGAAAGAGAGTCTAAGATTATGTATAGTTTGGTATAAGAGAAATTGAAAAAAAATTAATGTTAAATATTTTTGAAAGTATAAAAATATCCCTAAAAATATTTTCCGTTGTGCAACATTATTTAGAAACAACATTTAGAAACAACGCCCAAGCCAAGCGAATCAAGAGATTTTAAACTTTGAGATATAGAATCATGCTGGTGGAACGAAATTGTACAAAATAAATTTATAAAGCTTAGAAAGACCAAAAGATTAATGAGTTAAATAGATGTATGATATATAAATATGTGGCATCGATTGATGCATCTAGTCAACCCTACTCTGAGGTCAACCCTACTCTGAGGTATAAGACTGTTGTTATTGTTCTTTTTTTCAGTTTTAAATCAATTAAGAGAATTTTTGTATCTATTGATAATAATTTATCGATCTTGATAAATTATCTAATATATATATATATATATATATATATATATATATATATATATATATATATATATATATATATATATATATATATATATATATATATATATATAAAAGAAGAATATGATGGCAAAGTTTCGATAAAAACTAATTACAATGCAAAAGATGCAAACAAGAGAATAAGAGGTTAAAGAAATTAAGAAAATAAATAATTTCTCCTTGATAAGATTCCAACTTAATTATTCTTAGTCCATAGTTGGAGCTAATTTGGGCGTATTACATTGAATTATCAGCTACAATAGTGATCAAGACACACACAGGCAGACAAATACGTTTGGAGTTTGTGATTACATTAGTATTATATAAATAAAATATTACTATCTTTCTCTATTAGTATTTCTTGATTAACATTGATAGCATTGAATGAATGAAACAAAAATATGGAGGAGTGAATAATTTCTTAAAACACAGACGGATCTTTGGCCTGCATAATCAGTGCTATTAATTAAGCTCGTTTTAACATTCTAATATACTGATCCTTTCTACTTTTCCCTCATTTTCTCATAGAAAATCATGGCAAGTTCAAGCCCTGCAGTTAACAGAAGGTATGCTTCATGATCTCAACATTATAGTAAACACCTTGTTTATATTTTCTGATGTGAATACAATTTTTTTCTATGCAGATTGGAAGGAAAAGTGGCATTAATAACCGGAGGAGCTAGTGGAATTGGCAAACGAACTGCTGAAATATTCGTCCAGCACGGAGCCAAAGTAGTGATTGCAGACATCCAAGATGAACTTGGAGATTCAGTTGTTCAATCTATAGGACCATCAACTTGTACGTACGTACATTGTGATGTCACCGACGAGAATCAAATAAAAAATGCCGTGGAAACAACCATACACACATACGGAAAACTCGATATCATGTTCAACAACGCTGGCATAGGTGGCCCGAACAACTCTCGAATCATTGACAACGATAAAGCAGATTTCGAACGCGTATTAAGCATCAACGTGACTGGTGTTTTCCTCGGCATCAAGCACGCAGCCCAAGCTATGATCCCATCTCGCACAGGAAGCATTATAAGCACTTCTAGCATAAGCTCTTATGTTGGTGGTGCTGCCTCACATGCTTATTGTTGCGCAAAGCACGCCGTGGTTGGTTTAACTAAAAACGCAGCAGTTGAGCTTGGACAATTCGGGATTAGAGTTAACTGTTTGTCTCCTTATGCTTGTGCAACTCCTTTAGCAACACAGTTTATTGGATGTAATGAAGGTGAGCTTGAAAGTGCCATGAACTCACTTGCTAATCTTAAGGGAGTGACCTTTAAAACTGATGATGTGGCAAATGCAGCACTTTA